CTCTCAAGCGCTGGTTCTGATATTGACTATCTGCCAAGCGTCTTTGGGCAGTCTTCGTTTGTTCTTTCCAAGCTCTCTCATCAGGCCCCTCGAACTTCCTTTTCAGGCTATGAGCTTCGTCTTTCCAGTATTCAGAGGTTACCTTCAACTTGGAGTTATCCTTGACCTTATCTTGATACCCCTTTCTCAAGTCTTCGAGTTCAAAACAGACTTTTTTTTGTTCTTTTTCCAATTTTTATGCCCGATCTTTCTGAGAGTCAGCATCAAGCTTCCACTGATAACGTTCAGCTTCAAGTTCCTTTATCCTTTGCTTCAGCTCATTATTCACGGCTTCAAACTCGGTCTTGGCTATCTCGAGTTCAGAAGGGACATGCCTGAGATGTTCTTCCATGGTCTGGGTGTCATCACAGTCTGGCACAGGGATGTTATCATTCTTTCTTAATCTTCGCCACTCCACATAATCCGGAGTGAGCATGCTTCTGGCAGCTACAACATCTATCCGGAATACTTTCCTCCACGAATCGGCTGCTTCTTTGATCATCTTCTTATAGCTATCGCCGTGATACTCAAACTCTGACCTAGCCAACCCGCATGTTGCTGGGACAAACTGACGTGCTCCATACTGTCTAAGTGCTAATAGCGGAGCATACCCGACTGCTCCCCAAAGTCCAAGTAAGGTCACAGTGTCAGAGTCACCACATCGGAAAAGAACGTCACTGAGAAATAGCCAGGGAGCTCTCCAGACAATATCCCGGTCCTGAAGATGCGTAAAGACCTTCATCCATTTTTCCTTCGAGGCGCCTTCGTGCCATTTTAAGGTGATAAATTCACCTAGAGGTGAATAGGTGGTACTGAAACGGTGGTAGGCAACCCCGTTAGTCTTCCAGAAGTGGCTGTGAATCCAGACCTGAAGGAGTTGAATGCACCCGGTGAATCTTCCTCCGCCAGTTCTTCGGCAATGGTTGAGAGATCGAAAGGTCTCGGCCAAGATGGCTGGTGCTGGGTTAACTCGTTTAGAAAGTTGCTCAAATAGTTCCACCACGGCAGCGTCAATGCACCCCAAAGCTCTCGAAAAGATGATCAAACCGTACAGACCCAGTGCAAAAAGGTCTATAGTCTTCCACTCATCAGGGTGGTTTTTCATTAGTTGCTTTATGTGGATCCATTCAATTCTTTCTCCACTGCCTCTACGCTGAGTCCGATCGATTACCCATTTCTCATCTACTCCTGTCACTTTGGCCAGTGCATTCTTGAAGGGCTGGCTTTTGATATGTTTAATGTAGGCTCGCTCAAGCTTGATGCTTTCACAATGCAGCAGTGTAGTGTATTCTTCGATGGTGGGCACCATGACCTCTTGGTTAAAAGTGAAGTAACTATATCCCGGGTTCCAGAATTGAACCATGACTCTGATTAAGGGCTCATCCGTCTTAACATGAAGCAAGAGTGCAATGTCACCGTACCGTTGGCTGAACTTCTGCCTCCGATCATTCTTCCAACTGTCCCAGATATCTCGAAGCTCTTGTACATTGTTTTGTTTTAGGCTGATAGGGGTTTAGCGAACCAACTCTGACACATAGCTTCCTTGAAGACTGTATCCCTTTTCACTTTGAGTCTTCTCGGACCATAGTCGTGCCTCAGCGTTTTCAATCTCTTGTATTACAACACCTTTGTCCATGAATTCAGATTATTTGAGTTTTAATAAACACCTTTTTAGGGATCAATGGCCTATTGTTATGATGCAAATGCTAAAAACAAACACAAAGGCAAAAAGGTTAGTAAAAATAGAAATAAATAAATAAATAAATAAATAAATAAATAAATGGTAAAGAAAAAAACATAAGGATAAAAAAAAAGGTTAAGAAAGAAATGTCCTAGGTTTTGGAATGTGGTTTTGGGGTAGGCTCTATTTATTCAAAGTCTCCCGGTTTAGGTTCTAAAAACGGTACCCGAGTTCTCCTTGCTGGCACCCTCTTGGGCCGACCAGACCCTTAGTCCTAAACCCATCACAGGCTTGTGCGGACTAAGTTAAACTCGAGAGGACACATTCCCTTATGCCCATACAGAGAATAAATTCACACGAAGGCATAAGGTATATGAATCCCGAAGGCTACTTGCTAGGCCCATACGGTGAATAAATTCACACGAAGGCGTCGCTTTCACCCCCACTTAAAACGGGTTCGGAGCTCGGGTTTAGAGCCTTAGATGAAAAATGTTTGGAAAGCTGAAATCATTAGAAAACGGTCAGTCCAACTATTTACTCGAAAAATATAATCAAAAATAAGTAATAAGGATCGAAATATTACCTTAAAATTTAAACTTACCCTTTTCGTTAAAAAGACAACTGGAAATTACCTTAGCCTGACTCACTTACCTGTGTCCCCAGCGGAGTCGCCAAGCTGTCGGAACCGTCTTTCGGTTGGGCCCCGGAATTGGGCTTCGACTTGAAAAATATGGATTGGAGTCGCCACCGATCATTTATTTTAAAATAAATGGGTTGATCGGATACCCTAGGTCTTACCTGATCTGCATCTTACCAGTGATATGTCGAGTTCGGGAGTCGGTTACGGTCAAGGAAGGATTAGCACCCTTGAACCGCCCTTTCGGTACTACATAATTTCCAGTTGTCTTAGATTAAGAAAATAGAAAGTTTAAATTAAAAAGGTAAAATAACGATCCTAATTGCTTACCTCTGATTGATTGAAAACGAACCCTTTAAAAGTCAAAGAACGTAAAAAAAAAGGTGGTAAAAAAATGAGGAAAGTAGAAAAAAACAGTTAATATACATATATAAATAAAAATGAAGACATGGAAGATAAAAGTACTAGGAAAGATATGAGGCAACCAGACAGAATAAAGAAAATAACAAGGTACACACAGCAATATGAATAAATATAAAGAAAAAATAAAGAGAGAAAAAAAATGGAATAAGAATATAAACAAATAAATAGATAAAAATAGGAAAAATAATACAAACATATATAAAAATTTACGTAAGAAAAATATATGCAATAGAATAAAATATATAAAGAACGAAAAAGAAATATAAATAATATCTATACATAAAATATAATATACTATAGCATAAATAAATAAAAAACTAAAAAAATATAGTATACTATAACAATGTATATAAATGTATATATATAAAGGATCATAATAAAATAAAACAAACTTGGGTGGCCGAATTAAAAGAAAATCAGAAACAGAGACTGAATCTTAATGTAAATTGAGTTCAAAATTGAAATCAGGGACCAAATCGAGCTCTTAAACAAAACGAGAGGACCAAACGTGTAGTTTCTCCTTTTGTTAAGAAAAACACGCGGATTTGGGTTTAGTATATAACTTAAAATTGTTTTAAAAAATTCATTTGTTCTCTTCTCCTTAGCCGAATCACTCATCTCTCTCTCATTTCCTCTCCACATTCAACCGTGTTCTTCAATTGAAGAACACGACCACCATGAAATCCAGAAAACGACCGATGGCCACCTTGCGCCGCCTCGTCGCCGCCGCTGAACGGCGACGGCCGCCGTTCATCGGCGGCAAAACCTTTTTTTCATTTTTCAAAGCTCTTTTCCTCTGGTTTTCAAAAAATCCGGATAGTTTTTTTTAGATCGGGCCTCGGGATTACTAGATCTAACAAGACAGATCTAAAAGAACTTCCCGTTCATCGGCCGAAAATTGTTCTATTTGGTGTCTTTCGGAGCAAAACAACGAAACCAAGCAACGAGAACCACATGCAAGCCAAGTACACAACGAATCGAAGGTAAAAGGAAAAAAAACAAATACCTTTATTTCTTTTGAAATTCGTACAAGAGTGCTTTGAAATAGCTATCTATTTGTTTCGTATGTTTTCTGGTATTTGTGCCTAAAGCTCTCTGATATTTCTCCTCCAAAAAACCTCCCTTAAAATCGTGTATGTTACCTCGTTTTATAGCCTAGAAATCGACTATTTTTAGAGCGTAAGACTCCTAATAGGACTCTAACACTAATATGCTTTTTGACTTGTTGGTGCACCCGAAAAATCGGGGTTATTGTCTTTGTTGCTGTTGGTGCCGAGGTCTCGCCGAAAAGCTCGGTCGTTTGGTTCGTGCGGCGCGAGGAGAAACGGCTAAAGTGACCCTAGTTTCCTTGAATTTTGGTCCTTGGATCAATATTGGATCTAACGGTGGGGCTGAAGCGGCGTATGGTGAGCAAGAGAGGAGAAAGCTAGGGTTCTGGAAACCCTAGCTGGACCAGTTCATGTGTTTGGTTCTGGTCACGTGTGGGTTGTCTGCTGGGCTTGTTCTTTATTTGTATTTGGGCCTGAAAATGTAATAAATGCAAATGGATGAGAAAAAATATGTATGTGATATATGTTATATAATTATAATATATGTATATATTATGTAATGTATATATACTATATATTATAAAAATTAACACGTGAATGTCATGCTCGGACGAAAATATGTGTCGACAGTATGAAAATGTCTTCATTTTAAATGATAGAAATATGCGTTATTATAAGAAATAAAATCTTTTAGAAGTTATTTTTGTAAAGAAAAGAAAGAAATAATATTATTTAGAAAAAATCACTTAAATCAACAATGCTTTAAAAGCTGGGTAATTGATTGTATATTTTATTTTAATTAATTTTTTAACTTTTATGAAATCATTTTTTTATTTTTCATATCTTAACAGATAAATAATTTAAATAATTATTTTTATATATTTTAAAAATAATATTAAAATATCTAAAAATATGTAAATAAACTTTAAATAGTTGTACCTGAAAGTTTATTAAAAGATTAAACTGGTATTTTAATTATAATTTATAAATCAAATCAGATATTAATATTTTAAAGAGGTTGATATAACAACATGAATATATTATTTTTTTCTATAATTGGAAGGACTAAAATATAAGTTTTAAAAAGTATATAATCAAAATGAAAATCTACTGAAACATTAATTGTCATTGATGTAATTTATCTAACAAAATATCCCAATCTGTTCTTGCGTCTCCTCGACGACTACCTGCAAAACCATACGGCGGACAAATCCCCAAAGAAAAAAGAAAAGAGAAGGATATATTGTTGAAAGAAAAGATGGAGATGAGTTTAACCCACATAGCCAAACCACCGCCATGTCTTGTTAACAAAAGTTTTGTGCTTCCAAATAAAAGAAGAGGGAAAACCATTTGTGTTAAGGCTTCAAGGAGTTCATTTCCAAAAGCAACCGTATCCAGCGACTGGGATGTCTCTGGTGTGTCCCCTCTTACTTCAGCTCCAGCTTGGCTTCCTAGATTTGAAGAGCTTGACACCACCAACATGCTTCTTCGTCAAAGGATTATCTTTTTGGGTTCTCAGGTTTTATTTTTCTCTTTTTGAATGCGTTGTTTCTTTTCTTCTCCTTCTTCTTTTTTTCTTCCAGTTTTTATACTTTGTTTTTAGCTTATATGTCGATTGGGATACTGGGTTCGGTTTAAAGGGTTCAATATTTTCAAATTTGTTTGTTTTTATTGTCATTTTTCTCTGTAATTTCAATCTCTCATTTTAGTCTTTATAATTCAGTTTGGAGTGGTTTGTTTATTAATATCTATTTGTATGATTTATGTTTCTTATGGATTATACAGCAATGGGATTCTCTCTCTTCTGTATTGTTGTTGGTTAAGGATTGAAATTCTGAATTTTTTTTATGGTTTCAAAGTTAGAGGTCTTGGTGATTATTTGGGTTTGAAGTTTCTTCGATTTGAATCCGTGTTTTTATTTATTTCATTGATATTGAATAGGTGGATGATATTACAGCAGATTTGATTATAAGTCAGCTGTTACTTCTAGATGCCGAAGACTCCGAGAAAGACATAAAATTGTTCATCAATTCACCCGGTGGCTCTGTCACTGCTGGTATGTGTATTGGTCTTCTTCCATATGTTTGATTCCTTGCTTTTATCCTCTTGTTGTTCCCTTTATTCATAAGCATTGGAATGGCCTTTGGAATTTAAGGAACTGTTTCAAAACAGTATGTTTTAGAGAATTGTTTGTAGTCTAAAGTTCTTAGCTTGGTTAGCTTCTTCAACATAATCATATGGTTAGCAAATGGTCTTGGTCAGTATTGTTTAATTGGCCATTAGAAGGTATTCACATAGGCCTGCAAACGGTTTAATGTTTATATTAACTTTCCCTCATTGATTGATGCATGTAGGAATGGGAATATATGATGCCATGAAGATGTGTAAAGCAGATGTTTCAACTATTTGCCTGGGACTTGCTGCATCAATGGGTGCATTTCTCCTTGCTACTGGTACGAAAGGGAAGAGGTTCTGCATGCCCAATTCAAGAGTGATGATTCATCAACCCCTTGGAACTGCTGGAGGCAAGGTAAGTGTGTGATTCCCTGCATAATTTTATGAACATCGATCTTCTGAGATAAGATTTATATCTTCGCTTCAAGGAATCCTGGGCACTATCAACTTCATTGTTTGTTTTCATTATTAAATGTCACGATAATGTTCAAATTTATACCATAAAGTTTTATTTATTTGTTGGCTGTTTTTGTTATTAAACTTGACATGCTTGCTTTCCAATTTGAAACTGCAAATTTTCTTTGCAATCATCACGTGTGTGTACATTCAAATGTGATTCAGAACTGAATTATTATCCCCCTGCTTCCCGAGTAAATATTAGTGCTTGAAGGGAGCCTTTGAAATCAAAGAACGCAATGAGTCAGAAGAAAACCATGTAGATCACTTTTCATGATTTGGATGTCCTTCATTTCATCATTATATATAATGTACATTGGTTTATCAAATGTGTCCATGATTAGTTCTTCAGAAGCAGTTTGTATTGTTCAAGTAGACTTTCTTGCAAAATGAAATGATGTTAAACATAGGGAAACTGGAGTTTTTAATTGAAAAAAGATTGAGCTTGGTGCAAAAGTTTATACTTAATAGAACAAGTCTGACTTGAACTCTACTAGTAATTTGTGTTGCTCGTTTTAATCGGATGTTGCTTTAGAAGGATATAATTGTCTGTGGCAAGTTAATTTCCTGTGGTTTCTGTTATCTACACTAGACTGTTTCATATATGATTACAGGCAACTGAGATGAGCATACGAATAAGGGAAATGGTGTACCATAAGATTAAACTGAATAAGATCTTATCAAGAGTTACAGGAAAGCCTGAAGAGCAGGTTTGATTGCCTTCCGACCTTCCTTTGTCATCTATTTTTTCCCCTTACACTTTGCATTTGTTTTCGTATTTGAGTCGTCTTGTTTTTACTACCCATTATGCTGCAGGTTGAAATAGATACAGACCGGGACAATTTCATGAATCCTTGGGAAGCCAAGGAATATGGTTTAGTGGACGGAGTAATAGACGATGGCAAGCCAGGGTTAGTAGCTCCGATTGCAGATGCAACACCACCACCGAAAACCCGTGTGTGGGATTTGTGGAAAGTGGAAGGGAGCAGGAAAGCCAAGAAGAATTTGCCTACAGAACACAAAATGCTGCAGAATGGATATAAAGGAGGTGAAGCAAGTGATGAGGGAAGAGACACAGAGCAGGAAAAGAGAGAAGCTGCTCCTTTGTGATGATTTGTGATGTAAGATTACATCATTTTTTCCTTGGAAAATCACAAAAAGGAACACATGCTACTTACGTTTGTATCGGACCTCGTTGTGCCCCTAAATCTGCTTGTTTTTATTTGCATATTAGAAATCTGGAGTTCATGATGCGCCGAATAAACAAGAAAGAAGATGGCGCGTTAAATCTGAGTCTTGAAATATTCTGACACAGCCTCTCTCTTCAAGTTGTCTTTTAGTTCAACATTGAATTCCTCTTGAACATAATTTATTTCAATTATAAAATTAAAGTAGTTATTTTCACATCCAAGCAATAATTTTATGATTTTACTCTCAGATGCCATTCAAGAAATATCATATGAACTCTCTGAATTGAGATATAAATTTCTTCATCATAAATATATTCTTGTTACTCGATTTCACTCGACTTTCGACTTAGAAAAAATTAAATAAAGTTTGAGTTACAAAATAGGAGTCAAATGACTCAAATTTTTTAATAATTACTAGATTTATTTTCAAGTGCGAGTTGAGTTCATTAATTCTGCATGAAATATATATATCATATGAAAAAAATATAAAGAAATACAAATGTATATTGTATATAGTTACAAAAATGTTTAAATTAAAGCTAATTAGTATCATAACATCATAAATATTTGCAATTGCATTTAAATATAAAATTAAACAATTCGAGTAAAATCGATTTGAATTTTTTTAAATAAAGTTTGAGTTATAAAATAAAACCTCTCAACTCATCTAATCTAAATTTTTTGATTCAGCTGAATCAAATACTCACTCTTATCCCTATTCCTATCACATCCACCTTGCCTTGAAAATCATTAAATTCAATATTAGTTCCACACTCGTCTATATCGTATTATAGGGTTAACGGATCCAATATCATAGAGTTTTTTCCTCATTAATATCAAATTCATCGGCAATACTATCTTCCTACACGTCAAATTTGTTGCTGACATCTTTTAGATTCCCAACAGTTCCTACTAGAGTTTTGGCTAGTGGTGTGAAAATAGACATCAGATTGTGGTTGCATCATTGCATGGTCATGATTGGGAGCATTACCATATTGTGACTTTTGGTATCATCTTCCTGTAACAAGAATATATATACATACAGTTTGTATATATTATCATCCAACATGTACTTCAAAAGCAAAACCAAATTAATAATCCATGCACAACAGTACTAGGCTGTTGTTGGAAGACCCTAAACTGCATCTAACCACTTAAGTAGAGATGGCCGAGTCGCCATCGCTGCTTTCACTATCACTACTACTGCTCCCACTCCCGCTCCCGCTATTATCACTTCCACTGCTACTATTTGAGCTCAAAGACTGTTCTTTCTCTTCAGCGTTCACCTGATCTCTAAGTGCTTCAGCAGCACTGCGTCCTGGTTTATAGCCGTCATCACTTAAATCTACATCAGCAATCTCTTCATCCGTGTCAACTTGATGTGGTAGGTTGATATCAATGCCGAAACCGGAGGACAACTTTTCAGAGGCATTGTCTTGCTTATCTGTTCCCAAACCATCATTATCATCATCATCATCAACAACAACAACAACATCCACCTGTTCTTCTGATTCATAATTTTTCGGATCTGGTGACGTGGTTGGTTTATTAGGAACTGAAGATGACGGGGGCTCTATGTTGTTCTGCTTTCTTGATTCTGCAATATATTAAAATTTTATTTAAAAAAATTAAATTACTAATAACATTAACATTTATATGTTGACTTTTTTTAAAAAAATACAGTATAATATTTAATGTACTTAAGGTTCATGTTTGAGTTCAAGTTCAAGCTTTAACCAAGTTAAGTTTATGATTTTTTTCCGAACCTTTTCGAACTTCAATTCATGGTTTGAAGTTCGAGTCGAGCTTGAAATTTTAGGCTCGCAAGTTTTCGAGCCGAGTCAAGCTCCATTTTATAGTTTTTTAATCGAGTCGGATTGAGTTCAGCAATACTCGAGCTCAACTTGACTCGTTTACAGCCCTACTGACAATAAGTAAAGATAACCATCTTCTATTTCAAGTTTGAACCCGGATTTAGACCGGTAAAATCATGGTGATGAAGGCCTAACATAACCTTATTAGCATCTAACAAACAAAGAGAATCTCACCTCCACTCTCAAAGTCACCGGTGTCAATACGTTCGACCTGAAGCTGTAAAGTCACATAGAAAACAACACAAACAGAAAAAATAATATTATTTTAGACAACACTAACAACAATAATGGGCGAATAAGACTCTGTAGCAGGGCCAGCTGAAGAAGGCATGGCTGTGGATTCACCAGGCTGGCGTACATGCCTCAACCGCTTCACAGCTCGGTGTAACCGCTCCAACCGAAAGGTCTCACCATCGAAGAACAAAACTGCATCATTGTCCTTGTAATCTTCACATGTCCCTTCAAATGTCACCTTGGGTTTTCCCTGTTTGTTGTTTTCAAATTCTACCTTAACTCGATTATCCTTCGTCTTGTGGAATGATCCTGGTTGGCTTTTATCAATTGATGCTGGCTTAAATTCATCTGAAACAGAACCAAACAAAAGATGTAACACTTACATTTTTGCGCTGCTGAATAATTTTCAGATACAGAAAGAAATTAATATATCAGTCGAATAGAACCCCTTCACTAGACTGATAACCAAAAATTGTGAAAAGAAAAAGGCTGATAAAAGCATACTTCCAAGCAAATGATATTATCTGACTTATCTCTCGTGTAAACATCAAATGCAACTCTCAATATCCAAACCAGACATCTCATAGCTGGAGATTCAGTGCTGGAGATTCGGTACTGGAGACCAAAACCAAGAATATTCAATTCAAATCTCAATGATTTTCATATTTGTAAAGGACTGCAAAAACAAAGCTAAAGGCCTAAATGATTTTCGACTCATAAAAAAGAACATATTAAGCTATTCCAATTGAATATTAATCCTTGATACAGATAGGAAAATAATATATGAAGTTATCCCATTGAAACAAACCATTGCTAATCAAAGCGATTCATTGTATTGCTAATCAAATATAAAAATCATGGAAAAGGAAAGCAAATCAATCTACATACTATCAGAAAAAAAATCTTTTACCCTACTCTCTATAATTTTATTGTATATACTGCTGTAACAATCTCTCTAATTTCATTTTTTTTTTCAAAATTGAATTCGAAGATCATCAAATTTTGTATATTCAATTAAAACTTCCTATTTTATTTTTTGTCGAAATAGGTATAATGTATTGAAAGATCAAATATACATATGGAAGAAGGTTAAAAGATGTTTTCTGGGTTACCAAACAGAACCCTGGAATATTGAAAGGGGGACTGATTGCTTACAGCGTAAAGTGCAGAATTTGGAAGAATGTTGCTGTTGGTCCTTGAAGGAAGACCCTAAACTTATATTGTACCATCGATTAGGCTTCGGAGCAGTGCTCGGTTCTTCTTTGTTGCTGTTATTTGCCATTTTTTAAACCCTAGAAGAAATCTGCGTGTGTTTTGGGGTGGGGTTTAGGGCAATTGGGTAAAAAAAAATTATATCATTCCTCACAAAACTTTACTATCTCTCCTATTTTACTCACCAAATTTCAATTTGTTCTCTGAACTTTACAGATTAGAACATTTTGCTCACTTTGCCGTTAAATAGTTAACGGCGTTATGACATGACACAAGCATCAAAACAATTTCGTTTAGAAAAACTCAAATATACACCAAAACGATATCGTTTTGAATCCTATATTGAAAGTACGACCACCACGTCATTTTCATTTTCTCTCCGTCGACCTCCACGTCCTTTTCATTCCGACCACCATCGTTAAGGGTGGTCGTTCGGTGTCAATTTTAATGGGTCGGATTGTGTCAACTCCTGAGTCCAAATCTGGTGGTTGTTTTACCGAAAAATATCCCAAAACCCGTGAATTTGTACTAAAATGTTTCGACTTCCTCATTTTCAATCTCAAATTCGTGGACTTCAAAGCAAGTTCCGACAAAATGGAGGTCGTATTCGGACTCAAGGTGTTGAGGTGAACTGACCTGTGAACGACCACTATCTACGACGATCGACAGTGGCATCCATCCACCTTCTGTTTTTATTTAATATTTTTAATTTTTTATATTAAAAAATAAAAAAAATACCACATCATCTAGACGTTAGAGAGAAAACGGGGGAAGTGAGCAAAATGATTCAATCCATAAGTTCAGTGAGCAAATTGAGTAAATTAAAAGTTGTGTGAGAAAAATAGGAGAGATGGTATAATTTTGTGAGGAACGGTGTAATTTATCCCAAAAAAATATGTTTGGTATTTTGGCTTATTAATAATCTTAAATAACCTCAGTGACAAAAAATGCCTTATAATATACGATTTTAACTAACTTATTTTGGATTTGCCAAAATGACCAATTAAATCGCAATGCGATCGATAATTCGCAACGCGATCTCCGGTATCGCAAATCAGTTTCCAGATTCGCAACGCGAACTTCGACTATCGCATTGCGATTTACATATTCGCATTGCGATAATCCAAGTTCGCATTGCGATAGTCGAAGTTCGCGTTGCGATTTATTCCAAATTCGTTGCGATTTATTCCAAATTCGTTGTGATAGTCCAAAATCGCAACGACTGGTGGTATTGTATTTATTTCTTAAGAATTTTCTCTAAAAAGATAGTATTCGCGCGGACGTGTCGAAGACACGTATTACCACGACCACGACCCGACCCGAGACGAGACGAGAAGGACGATGGCGGCGGCGGTGCGCGAGAGTCCCCCTTGTTCTCTATCACTCAACAAGGAAGTGGGAAAGTCAAGCCTTAAATACCATTCCCAATAGTGTTTCCAATACTATATGGGATTGAGCATTACCAACACTTGTTTCCAATACAATGTGATTATTCAGGAAACAATTAACAATCATGCACCTTAAAACAACTGAATCAGCAACCAATTGCATTAGTATTATACGATTAAATATGTCATAATTAAAAGTCAATCTATAATCAATCGCGATTATTGCAATTTTAAGCAAAACATTCAAAAATAATATCACTATTTAAGGCTCAATCCCACATAGTATTGGGAACAAGTGTTGGTAATGCTCAATCCCACATAGTATTGGAAACACTATTGGGAATGGTATTTAAGGCTTGGCTTTCCCACTTCCTTGTTGAGTGATAGAGAACAAAGAGGACTCTCGCGCGCCGCCGCCGCCGCCGCCGTCCGTCTCGTCTCGTCCGCGCGAATACTATTTTTTTAGAGAAAATTCTTAAGAAACAAATGCAATATCGTCGTTGCGATTTTGGACTATCGCAACGAATTTAGAATAAATCGCAACGCGAACTTCGACTCGCAACGAATTTAGAATAAATCGCAACGCGAACTTCGACTATCGCAATGCGAATATGTAAATCGCAATGCGATAGTCGAAGTTCGCGTTGCAAATCTGGAAACTGATTTGCGATACCGGAGATCGCGTTGTGAATTATCGATCGCATTGCGATTTAGTTGGTCATTTTGGCAAATCCAAAAAAAGTTGGTTAAAATCGTATATTATAAGACATTTTTTGTCACTGAGGTTATTTTCTCTATTAATAAAGGCTTAAACATAAAATAATTGTTTAAATTATAGGGTTTTCATGAACAAGTATCTAAACTATTTTTTGAATGATCATAGTGTCTGAGGTTACAAACGTTATTACTTTAATTGTCTGAACCGCCAATAACGTTAATTTATTCTGTTAAGTGACGCGTACCACAATCTGATAATTTTGAAATTTATTTTTAAAAGAATATTGAAAATATTATTATATTTATAAAAAAAATCCCAAAATCTTTAAAATTCTCAAATCCTAACCCTAACTCGCCATCGCGTCCTTTTTGGTCGTGAGCACCATCGCCGACGTAGTCTCTGCCATCCTCTTAGTCATACATCGTTGTAGTTGTCGCCAATTGGTTGTCGAAATTGCATGGATCACGATTTTCATCCTAGGGTTTGCGGGGAATAAAACGTCAATTTGTCATCTATCAGTCACGGTTTTATAGGGGTTTTGGTTGCCAAGGGAGGTGAGGCAGAGTGAAGCTTCATCGATGGCAAAGGGCAACGAGCGACATGGGTTTGGGGTTGAAATGAAGGTTTTCAAAGTTTTGGGGTTATTTTGTAATTTCTATATTTTTTATTTTTAAAAATATAATTTTGTTTTTTAATTTTAAATAAAAAATTTAAAATTACCATATTGTGAAAATTAATGGCCCCTAACCTAAAGTGATAATGTTTGTAATGTTAGACATCAAGATTATTCAAAAAATAATTTCAGTGCCTATTCATGACAAGTAGTATAGTGTGGACACTTATTTTATAATTAAGCCGTTACTAGAGTTTATAAATTAACTTGCATGTGCATTATAACTTCCCTATAACAATCTTCGCTTGATGGAAATTACATGTGGCTTGTTCTACTCATCTAGTGATTACTTGTTGATTAGACATAGGACAACCTACTGCATTTTCTCATAAGTTTCACAATCTTTGAAGTTTTCAAATGCTTAGTTTTTAGTTCTTTTCATTAGAGCGTTTGTTACCCAAACTTATGTAAAGAAAACACTTTTAGTTACAGTAACTCAATTCTAGTTCATATCTTATCTTCTTAAATTTCTAAGGGTACTCTTTCAACCAGTTTTTCTATCTTTGAATTTCTTAGTGCCTGGTTTTATTCAAAGTTCAATTTACTAAAATGATTACGAGAACAAAAAAAAAAAAACTAATCCAAGATGCAAAAAAGAGATAATGATGTAAAATGGTTATCTCTACACCATAAAACTCCCTTAAATCCTTCAATAGCTTCACACCATCAACCAAAGTGACGGTGAACTTGTTTTGGAGCTTTAAGGGTGGTGAAAATGATTTTTATCCCAATCTAATCCAGATGAGTGGTTTACACCAAAAAGATGAAACCTTTTGATTAAGGTTTTTTGCTTTGAAAAATGGAAGAAGAGAAGATGAAAGTGAACTTGAGTATGCAAAGAGTTGATGCCAACTTAATGGCTCATTCTTTTGCTCATATTTCCCTCGTAAAACAAACCTCAAATCAGATTTGTTTCCTATGAATGGACAAATTATTCTCTTGGTCCTTAGCAATGGAATTTAAGCAAAACCCTCCATTTTTATCACATTTTCGAAAATATTAATGGTTTACTCCAAAATAAATATTATTTACCAAGTTACATCAAATAATAAACAATGACGAGGAAAGTTGTCTACTATTGAGCATAGTAAATGAACTCTAGTTGTACCTGAGCAGTTAAACAGTAAGGAGGGTTGTTATCTTTGTTATCAGTTTAACAAACTTGGTTAACCTACGTAGTCCTTGTATATAAAGCGTGTACATTTCTTCAATAAAGTCAGCTTCTTCTGATCATTAAAATCTTGCCAATATCATTGTCTTTGTGTTTCTTAATATGGTATCAATCGCTATAGTTCTTGGAGAATTCTAATCTTTCGATGTTATCTTAGGGTTTCTAACTTCTCTGTCTCGAGTCTTTCTTGCTTGTGTGTTTTTCTTGAAGTATCTTTTGAGTTGAAGATGAATACCAGCAGTCTTGGGCAGAATTCTGTCAATGGAGTTTGCGAGAAGTGCGAAGACGTTCACCAACAAGAAGGTTAACATTGTTCTTAATGAAATGAATTTTCTTCTTTGGAAACAAGTGTTTTTGACGGTTCGTAACCATAGATTGGAGAGGCAATGATAGTGAGCATTACTCTGTTCAGCTGCCGCTATGTTTTCGGATATCTATACAGCAACAAGCTGGAGGTCATCGACTATGTTCGGCAAATGATTCCGTTCATTTCTTTATCTGTCATTGTGGACAGTTTACTAGCAGTTATTACAGGTGAGTCTCCAATTTGATCGGTTCATGTGATCAAGGACTCTTCATGGTTTTCGACAATGTATAACTCGAGATTCTTGCATGTGACAGGCTTTGCAAGAGGAACCGGGTGGCAGTACATCGGAGCGTATGTGAACCTTGGGGCATACTACCTTGCTGGAATCCCAGTTTCAGTTCTGTCGTGTTTTGGTCTGCATTTGAGAGGAAAGGGACTTTGGATTGGAATATTGACAGGATCTTCTTTACAATTACTTCTGCTTGGTTTAGTTACAAGTTTCACCAATTGGCAAAAACAGGTTTGTATTTTACACTCCTTTTATGTGCATTCGGATGCTACCGTTAAACTGAGTGAGATTTTGCTATGGATGTTGCAGGCAAGCAAGGCACAAGAGAGAATGTGTGAGGAGAAAGTTTCCTACGGACTATTAGCTTGAAAAGGAGCATTAAGTGACATCTTTTTGTGCTTAGTTATAAAACCTACTAATCACCATGTTTATAAAGTATGAAGTTGACATCTTTTTGTCCACCCTTAAACCCAATAATCTATGGTCACTTTTGAGGGGGAAAAAAGGTTTCCTAATAGTATGTGATTCTCTTATTGCAAATGAAGAAGCCAGCTTACATGTGTGTAAAATTTTATGTTAGGGACTTAACACGAAATTTTAAAAAGTAATAGGTCAATAATATCATCCAAAAAAAGTAATAGCTCAATGATAATAAAAAGGGTAAACTAACCCATTAGTCACCAAACCGTTAGGGTATTCTGTTTTGGTTACAAAATTAAAAATCTTGCAAAATTAGTCACTAATGTTACACTTTATCTTCGATTTAATCGCTGACCATTAATTTTTTTAAAAGAAAGGCGGGCTCGTTAAAAGCCCTTCAACAACCCAAAGGTTTCAATTAGTATAATTCTGTATTTAGTACTTATAAATTCTATCAAGTTAGTCCTAATTCTAAATAATTCAACAAATTTAATTTCATTTGCAAATGCTATCAATTTGACTCTGTGTATTTATGTATTTAGTTTTTAACGCTAACAAATTTCATCAATTTAGTTTGAGTATGAAAATCAATATATTCATGGACGTAGATCAACACTCCCCTTCAAGATGACTGTTTTCCTTATATTCTAGTAAAACAAATCTGAGATGAAAATCAGCTAATCAAACAATAACAACATAAGCCAGAACTAATCAAAAGAAACCAGAATCTAATACCTTCTTCCGTATATATGAATCTAAGCAAGAGAGATGAATTGTAAGGAAAGGGAAGAGCTTCTGGAAATCATCGGAACTGGAGGCCTTGGGAAGAGTTTATGGCGTATCATCGTTCTTCCCAAAGACGCCATTCTTATGATTACCAGAAATTTCATCTTCCTTTCCTCCTCCTCTTATCATTCTATTATCTTCTTCTTCTTTGCCTCTCTTATTTATAAGGGGAAAGAATTCCACAACTCAGATGAGACGGCAATCTATCAAATTAGGGTTTAACAAAGACGATGACCATTTTGTACCACTATATAACAGGCTGGGTTACGGCCCAGTTGTCTACAATCCGATTGGGCCTGATCTGATTATGCCCGTTAACCTTTTTCCCGGTTCAAATAATTATAAAATTTCACAAATTATTTTTATACTACACCTGAATATTTTTGTTTTTCAATAAATCAGGGAACTATAAAAACCCTAAATCCTAAACTCTGAACTCAATTTTAATAGAATTGATATAAAAAATAGAGATAATATTTACTATTAAAAATAAGCCATTTACTGTTTAGTGGAGCTAATAATTTATTGTTAATTGTATAGAGATTAAATTGATCTGTTAAATAATAAAAGGATTTATTTGAATCAATCTATATAATAGAGGGACCTAAGAAACAGTTTTATTAGATATAAAGTTTTGCGCATAGAAGATTACAAGTGCTCGATGGGTTATATAAGCAGTCATAATGAACGCTAACCGAAAAACACCAAACACATCATACAAAAACAACATCCGAGTCATGGGATGCAGCTGTGTTGGACATTTTCACCCGGCATTTCGTTATTGATCATGAATTTAGAAAAGGAATTAGGCCACACAACATTTCTTTACAACGTCGCAATACCATATTTGAAAATTTTAGGGTAAACTATACATTTAATATTTAAACTATAAGCTTTAGTCTATTTTAGTACCTAAAATTTAGTCTTTGTTTCATTTTAGCACCTCAATCTCCTCAAATCGACGATGAACTTTTCAATTTGCTCATCCTCCGATCTTCATGATCCACCATCTGATGGTCCTGAAACTAGACAATGTTGGTCGACTCGTCATTCTCTCGTGGTCCATCGTTCGGATTGATCGTCCATCCACCGAAGCTATGCCACTTCAGTTTGTCCGTTAAGTTTTTAATAGTGTGGTACTAAAATGAAATAAAAATTAAACGTTAGATATCGAATCCGTGGTTTACCCAAAATTTTAACATAATATTACAACTTAAACTAGATGTGAAAGTTGAACAGTGGGAGCACTCATCATCTTATTCTAACAATCTTGTAACCATTACAAGTCGTTTTCTTCTTATTTTACGTAGTTTCTGGAAAAAAGGCAAAATCCCATCATAATATCGCTGTAAATCTCCATATCAATGATAACAACCCATGCATTTCAGCTTCCTACTCAGCGGCGGATGCATTAAGGGACTAGGTGTTCACGTGTCATCCTGAAATTTAATTTTTTTTCGATTAATTATATATTTTATTGATGATGTTCACCTTGAAAATTTATTGTGTCCACCTAAAATATGAGTTTTCTTCAATTATAATTTATTTTATTGACGATGTCCACTTTAATATTTTAATTATGTTTATCTCGTTCAAAAATTTTATATCATTAACATATATGTACATATCTTAAAAAAATATTTATGCCGCCACTTTACTATTCCAACCTATGCGTTTCACTATATTATAATAATTGGAGAAACATATTACATATATAATTATACAAAATGAATATTTTATTTTATTTTTGTTCGCATGTTTTACAGATCAAATCTCTTATAAACAAGTCCCTTGCATAACGTAAAACAAATAAAACAGTTCCCTTCACACATAAATTCTACCCATCACCTAAATATTATTTTACTATAATTACGACATTGCAGACTTATTGTTTTCTCATGGTATGTGTAGACACCAAATTTTGTCCCATTATAATATTTAATATAAAATATATTATATATATATATTATGTGTTATATTATTTATTTATTTATTGTTTTTGTTACATTTACAGGCCCTACAAAAAAACACGAGGCCCAACAGGCACCACATGCCCAACAAACCAACTCAGATCAAGGTTTTCAGGAACCCTAACAAGCAGCGCCGCACGAAACTTCCCAAGCCCGGATTTCACGGATGCATATCCCATCTTCAACCACTCCGATTTCTCCGGCGTAAGGATTTCATGGAGATAACAAACCAACAAACAACCGAGTTAGAATTCTAATAGGGATCAAACTCTAAAATCCTAGGCTATAAATTCCATGTAACTAGAACACTCAAAAGGGGGATTGGGCAAAAATCACACGAATACGCAAGGTGATTTCGGGTTGAAAAAACGGAGGGGAAACACTAAAAAACAAAAGGGAATCAGAAGGAAAAGACAGTGGCCCCTAGACACTCTCGGCCTTGCCGAAGCCCTAAACGAAAGGCCACCACACGAAAACGGCGGCAAAACCCAAATCAGAACCGACTGGGGAAGGTTTCACGGTCAACCGACGTTGCCCATCCACGACCCAAGCCAGTTGTGCTTCCCCGGAGAAGATATGCCTTACCACAGCCATGAATAGCCGAACATGGTGGCGGAAGGGCCGGGTTTGCTAGCCCAAAGCTCGCGGGTTTGTTGATAACCCGCTCCAACGGCGATGGCTGCGAACGGAGTTGCGATTGGAGTCGGATGCCCACCCATATAGGGTGGCCGAGGCGTGGCTTGCTTCGGCTCATCGGAGGATCGGCCGTGTTGGCCACTACTTGAGCGAGGAAGGAAGAGTTGGGAGAAAGCAGAAGCCATCGAAGCAAATAAATAGAAAAGCCATTGTTTTGGCTTTTTGTTGCGTGATATTAAGCAAATGCCCAAGTGATTTTGAACTTTGGGTAAACTCTCCCATTGATCCTTCAAATATTATGGGTAAACCTCCTCTGCAGTACTCAAGTTTTGTAATATTTATAATTTCGTCATTGAGTTTAATTTGCATTTCAATGTGGATTCCAAATTTAACATGTTCACATTTTAATCCCTTTTTATTTATTTATTTATTATTTAGTCCCCGATTTTTTTATTATTATCTTTGTTTTAACTTTTTATTTATTTTATTTTTTTGAGAAAATTCGTGAGTTGGACTTCAGTCAATATGCAAGATCAGAGGCTACATTAGCGGCTGCTGTAAACATTATCTTAATCTTGTGTGCTAATTCAACGCTAAAACATTGACTAACAGGACCAAAATGGCCAGCCACCATTTCATTTGTACTCTTTATTTATTATTATTTTTATTTACCCTTCTTATATATTTTTATTTTGTATTTTATTTCTTTTGTTTCTCTTTAATTTATTTTTATATACGTATTTATATTTTTTTTGTGATTTCATTTTTTTTTATTATTATTATTATTTATGTTATTATTATTATTATTATTATTATTATTTAACATTAATTTATTATTTTTTGTCTAACATTTTTGATTTTTTAGAGAAATTTCATTCGATCAAAGGTAAGTACTTCGAATCGGGTTTTAAATTTAATTTTAAATTTTTCGCAATTAAGACAACTGGTAAATTAATTGATACCGAAAGGGCGGTTCAAGAGTGCTAATCCTTCATTGGCCGTAACCGACTCCCGAACCCGACACGTTTCTGGAACAACGCAGATCAGGTAAGATGGTGTCCGACCCACCTAAATTCGTTTTAAAGTGGTCGGTGGCGACTCCAATCCATATTTTTCAAGTCGAAGCCCAATTTCGGGGCCCAACCGAAAAACGGTTACGACAGCTTGGCGACTCTGCTGGGGACAGGTAAGTGAGTCAGGCCAAAATTAATTTTCGGTTGTCCTTTTTATGCGAAAATTTTAAATTTAAATTTAAATTTATTTATTCGATTCCAATTATTTATCTTTGATTATATTTTCGAGTAAATAGTTATACTGACCGTTTTTTAATGATTTAAGCCCTTAAATATTTTTCATCTAAAGGCTCTATACCCGAGCTCCGAACCCTATTTAAGTGGGGGTGAAAGCGACGCCTTCGTGTGAATTTATTCTCCGTATGGGCCTAGCAAGTAACCTTCGGGATTCATATACCTTATGTCTTCGTGTGAATTTATTCTCCGTATGGGCATAAGGGAATGTTTCCTCTCGAGTTTAACTTAGTCCACACAAGCCTGTGATGGG